AAATGATTTCTGCTCTGGGTACTCACACGCTCATCGGGTGCACAAAACAAAACTTACGTCCAGGTTCTCCTTGAGGACTCCGGTTTGGAGAACACAACTGAGCTTGCCTGTCTTGTGGCGGACCATAGGGTCTGGAAATCTAGTTATGATGATGCTTAATTGAGTATGTTGATGGTCGACTGCGGTCGTAGACTAATTTTAGCATTCATGTTAAGAGTTATTTTGAGAAATGTTATTTATAAGTCCAGGTACTATCTCATGCGAAAAAAAAAGACCAGTTTCATGGTGTCCGAACAGTTATTTATGATGTAATTTTAATTAGTTAAAACAGCCATTTCTTTGAGTCCTTTGTGTGCTGTAAAATTCACCTATAATGTTTTCCGAAATATATCTTGCAAAACGGTGAATTTAGGTAAGTGAAAGTAATTTAAACCAGACACGGAATGTTTTAATAGGATAATGGAAATTTTATTGATTGTTGTGAAATGTAACCATCATAAAAAGAATTACTAAACTATGTTCTGCACAGCAGTGAAATATTTGCTTTGTATAACTCATTAACTGTAAATGTGTCATGATGTAGTTGCTCTATAAATAAATGTGTCAAGCATTCATATTTTATTTTCTGTTGTATTCTGTTAGTATGAAAAATGTGCACAGTTGAAATGTCATGTCTCTGCTAAGCCATCACCAGAGTACATTTGTGTTGGCTTTAGATATTGTCCAGGTTAATTTTGTACTTTACAATACTAATCTATTATGAACAAAACTTATGAACAAAAATATTTTTCCCAGGCAATATTTTACATGTTATAATGTAAAATGATGATTTCAAAGTTCGAAATATAAATTTAATGTGAGAATGCATGTTTTTGTGGGTAACTAAAGGTGAGATCTTCATAATACAATAAAGTAGGATAAGCAAAGTTTATGTCATTCAATTTGGCTTCAGCTGACCATGATGTGTAGTTAAAGAAGAAATGCACGGGTATCCGTTTCATTTGATTCAATATTGCAGTGTAAAAACTCTCAAAATTTATGTAAAAGCATCCATAGAGTAGCTTGAGTGTAGATCTATAGCTCTGAGTGGAAACTCAGTCCAAGCATTAATAGAGATAGCACATCGTGAAAATGTAGCAGGGAGGGAGGGGTATTCTTCTGTCAGTCAACAAAAAAGCAGCCTTTTCATCTCCATGAGAGCAGCAGTTAGACACACACTAAACATAGGCATATCCACTGAAACCTCCATTGGCATGTTATTGCTAATGTTAATATTAGTTCATGTCTCCTGCTCTCTGGCAAGATATTAAATCTCAAAAAAAAAAAAAAAAAAAAAAAAAAACTGACCGGGAATTGAAAGTAAGAATTAAGCTAAAATTTTAAGTTTTTGATGGAAATGACATTTTTTTTACTTGAATGCTATAGAAAAGATCTATAGACAGAGTTTGTATTACTTCTCTTGAAATATCTTGAAATTATCTGATATAAAATGTTCTGAAATTTATATATTTGATTCCTTAATGTAAGTAGTAATAAATTTTCTATTAGTTATATGAGAAAATAAATTCTGAGACTCTTTATGTATTCTTAAACAGGTTTTTCAAACATGTTTGTGCTGGTGTGGTGTGTGTCAGAGAGAGAGAGAGAGAGAGAGAGAGATTACCAAAAACAACAAAATATAGAAATATAGTGAGTGACTAAGTCTTTTATTTCATATTTGATATTACAAGATATCACAATTAAAAAGATAAACTGACTAGAAAATGTGAAATTTTCTTTTTTGCATAAGAAAACAGCTGAATATAGGCTACATGTTGGAAGGATATGACTGTGTGGAAGAATGATTTTGGAAAATTTTGGGGGGAATTTTTAGACACTTACAAAGAAAGGGGCTTATCTTAAAAAAACTAAATACATATCATTATGGTATGATTATAATAAAGTTCAGGAGCATAATATTAACACTTTAAGAAAAGAGATTTATCAAAACACTGAAAACTGCTTTATTTTCTACTTTCTCTTGATTCAATTTTTTTATGACGGATTGCAATAGTAAGGAAAATGAATCATTAAATAAATTATTAAACTTGCATCAGTTTTGACCTAACAATTTACAACTTATTCATCATTTTCATTAATAAAAAAGTGCTGAAAGGACAATTTACTTTTTCAGAGTAAATGATATAACTGGTGATGATAGACCTACATACTCACACTTCCAGAGGAATATAGCAGTGTTGGTGTTGATGGGGCCCTACATCAACACAAACACATGCTATGATGAAAAGATCATGACCAATGACCTTACAGATTTGGCCAAAATCAATAAGGGTTGATCACGAACTTTCCAAATGTTCCTGTCAGTGTGGCCAGCACCAACAAGAACATGATCCTCCTCAGAGATGTTCTAATGAGTATGTAGTCAATGATAACCAGAAATAACATAACCACTGCATGATACTACATTAAGCAGAAATTATTTTATTTCATAAAGAAATAAATATAAATGTGGGAATTTCTGTTTATTTTTTAAATCTATATTTCACTTTTAATTTTATGATTTTTTTTGTTTTTTCATCGTTTTGTTTTTTTCTAATTATTCATTTTTCTTCAAACAATTTATTTACAAGTGAGAATTTTTATTAAGTTCTTTATTTATTTTTGTTTATTTTTATTTATTTATTTATTTATTTTTATTTTATTTTTAACTATATTTTTATACTTATTTACTTATTTGTTTTGTGTTATGATATTTTCCTCATTTTAATTAATTTCTTTTGCAAGGAACCTTGTATTGTTCCCCTTACTGATCACTATAAATTGCACAATGCATAAAGGGTTTGCTGTTTACGATAAAATCCAATACAGTAGGAAATTTTTGTTTCAAATAACCATAATTTTTGCTGCAGTGTAAAAAGGAATTTATTTTAATAAACTTTAAATTTCTTCTAATTTTATCAGAAAAATATCCAAAATGTTATATC